TACATGTGCCGGAATAATTTGTCAGGTGTTGTCTGGAATGACAATAAACCAATAAACTTCTTATCTTCTTATCACAACCCCACAGACATGGGCAGTGTAGACAGAAAAAGTAAAGATGGAACCGTGAAAAATATAAAGTGCCCAGTGCTAGTAAGTGATTACAACAAATACATGGGTGGTTGTGACAAGAATGATCAAATTTCACGCTTGAATCGGACACGTCGACATTACAAATGGCCGCGACGATTGTTCGTCAAGTTTATGTATTGGACCCTGTACAATGCCTATGTTATTATGAATCACTATAGCCCACATAAGGCTAATGGAAAAAGGTATAGAACCTTCAACATGTTTTTAGATGAACTGTGTCTGCAGCTAATTGGAGACTACCGTACACTTGAGGTACGTCGCGAATCAAGAGAACTCGATGTGCCCACGCGTATGCAGAATGTGGGCTTACATTATCCAGAGAGACCCTCTGAAGCAACTGGAAACAATGTCTGTGTAGTTTGTAGCTACAAATTCAACCAATTCCAAAGGACTAATCAACCCAAGTCAAAAAAGGACTGTCCATACAAACAAAAAAAGACGACATTTTGGTGTGCATATTGTCGTCGGTATTTATGCATCCGTGAAGGCTCTACATGTTGGAACGACTGGCATAACAAAGTAGAATATTGGCGCTAGATATTCTAAGAACATTATATACTGTTATGTAATCAGATTGTGTGAGTTTTAGATCATTAAACTGAGTTTTTATAAGATTTCATTTTTTTCACATATTTCGCTCAGGAGCTCAGGGTGGGGGCCGTTTAATCCACAGGGGCTCAGGGTTCAAAGGGTTAACAAATTTCATGTTTATTTCGTTTACCGGTGGTTTGTAAAAATACCTCAATGTTATTTTACCAACTTTTCATGGCAACTTTCTGCCCTGAATTTCAGGTGAAAATACATAAATAATTTTTACAGTGTGGCTCTATTCTACACATCAGCTGCTACTGAAATTAATCATGCAGATGGTATTTCTTGTGTGAAGACGGTCATTTCGGAACTGAACAACCAGATGAGGGAACCTACAGGTACCTTGACACAATCTACTGATTTTTTTGGCAAGGACTTGTGCATGCCTGCTAGTGCTAGTTAATCAGGATGCTGAAAGGGAACCGATTTGTGAAATGATCAGAATGTGCCTAAACTCTGTGATATCAGTTCTGGAGCACCAGTACAAACGGTACTTTGAAATGGACCTGACTGCCAAACTACAAGAGACCGCATCTGCCCGCCTCCACAACATCGATGCCGAGAAAATTATGGGCATGTTTAGTGTCGGCCAGCAGAGGGCTAAAAACGCAAACATTGATTTCCTAAGAGCAAAGATGAGATCGAAAAAAACCAAAGTGATACAGCACTTGGACGGCATGTACAAGGACAAGCGAGAGCAAGTTGTAAACTGGGCTGTGGGGCGTGCGAGAAAGAAAAGGCTTGCACACATCAAAAAGAAAGCAGAAATCGTTACTAAATTATCACGAAGGGCCTCTCTGAAATCTCAAGAAAAAGTTGACAAGGACAGAAAGGAAGTGGAAAAAAAGCTCAAGGAACTAGATGTGGGGACATTACAACAGTCTTTCCGGACATCGATGAAAGTCAGAAGATTGACCTTGAAAGCATTCTGTGTGGTACCGCTGTTGGCAAAAGTATCTTCCATACTTGGTATGATGCCGACACCAAGGAGAGGACTGTCTACTGTGGCAAACTTGAAAAACTGAAGAGGAAAGGTCAGTTTTTCTACACTGTTGCCTACTGGGGGCAGAACGAAACTTATGATAATGATGCAGAGGACACTCCAAGGTCAAAGTTTGGTGTTTTGTTGAATATTTGAATAATATTTCTCACTTGGATTTAACTGTAAATAGACCTTATGAGACACTTGGAATTAGATTACTGTTTTGCTGAAATGTTTACTGGGCCATATATTTTGATAATAGCTCGTCATTGGTTGGTTAACTTGGATAGACCGCTGAAGTGTATTCACAGGAATTTAAAGTGCTCCCAGTGGCTTTAAGGTGATTATTTTGCATTAAAGGGAAAGGTTACTCTAATAGTAAATTAATGCTGCGAATAAAGCTTGTTGAGAACTACCATATACTAAACGAAGATATATTTTTCCTTATCTGTGAAGGGAGCATTCCCCATCAACATGTACTGACAATGACGTACTGTCACTTGATGCATTGTCGACAGCCAGGATTTTTTAGTATTAGACTGTTATAACAAGCTAATACGTGATTTTTCCTACAATCAAGGGTCATAATTCAGGAAATTACAATTCCATATGCGCAAATATTGAAAGGAACCGAGATCTCTGGGTTATAAACTTACATTTCAAGTTTCAAAAAAGTCGGATAAAAATTGTGACCTCTATAGGGTCCCCAACACCTTGATATACCATATTTTTACGCTATTTGAGAACGGAGGGCGGCCATTTTGTCTGTCAGTTTTGGGCCGATTTTCATGAAATTTTTAAATCGGATAAAAATTATGACCTCTATAGGGTCCACAAGCTAAAAATGCAATTTTTCGTACAATCAGGGGCCATAATTCACTGAGTTACATTCCGATATGCACGAATATTGAAAGCAACCAAGATCTTTGGGTTATAAACTTACAACTTTGTTATACCATATTTTTACGCTATTTGAGAACGAAGGGCGTCCATTTTGTCTGTCAGTTTTGGGCCGATTTTCACGAAATTCGAACTCAGCCGTCCTTAGGGTGCAACAGTGATATAATAATAACCACTATAGGTTCCACAAGCTAAAAACGCGATTTTTCGTACAATCAGGGGCCATAATTCATGAAGTTACGGTCCGATATGCGCGAATGTCAAAAGGAACCAAGATCTTTGGGTTATAAACTTACATTTCAAGTTTCAACAAAATCGGATAAAAATTGAGACCTCTATAGGTTCCACAACCTTGATATACCATATTTTTACGCCATTTTGTCTGTCAGTTTTGAACCGAGATCTTTGGGTTATAAGCATACTTTAAACCAAATCGGATAAAAATTGTGACCTCTACAGAGAGAGAAATGGGGTTAGGCTGAAAGAACACTTTGCTGACATTACCCACAAGAGAGACACCCCAGTCGCCTCTCACTTCAACTTACCGAGACATTCTAGTCGAGACCTTGACTACCAAATAATTAAACAACTGGGCTCAGACCCTGAGTTATACACTTCCACAACCAACAGACGCACAATTGAATTACATTGGATTATTAGATTAAAAACTTTTCAACCACACGGTATCAACGACAAAATCTGAACTTGGGCACCCCCACTTATTTTTATTTGTTCTACAACCCCCCTCACTGGGTGTCCCAACTTTAGATCATTTTTGCCTCCCTACCCTCCCATAGGTGCCACCGAGTCACCGTTCCTTTATATTATTCCACGTCTAGTCATCACCACTTTACGTCATAATAGCTCACCCAACGTCATAGCAACTCTTCACTAAGTATGGACGCCTGTCACCAGTGCGGCAAAGTTTTCTCTAAAAAATGCCATCTTTTACGCCATCTTAGAGAGACTCACTCAGCACCAAAGTTTAGCTGTGACCATTGCGGAAAACTCTACAGAAGAATGGAGTACATTAAAAAGCACAACTGCAAGGGCGCCACAGCAGCACCAGACCAACTCCTAGAAGCCATTACAGCCACCATCGGAGAACTCCATGGAAACACCCCGGCGGTCAGCGCTTCAACAGAAACTTTACGTGCCGCTACGCCGACCTCAGAAGCCTCGACCAGCCAGCAAAATGGACGCCACCTTACTCCATTAGGGGCTCCGTTTCCATGTTTCCGCAACTGGGACTCTCCCCTAGCCAACTGGAGGCAGAAACATGGACCACTGTCCAATCCAGCCGGAGTGACATTTGGAAAAACCGGGATAGGTCCATTGACCAATATTTTAGAATCGAGAACGAACCATCCGGCACTCTTGAAATGGAACGTGACCCTCTTCTCACTTGCCAACTTTCATTTACTGATCTCACTAATTCCAGCTTGATTTCCGGTTTAATAAACCATTCCATCTAACCTTTCACGTTTTCCTTTTTCTTTCTTCTCTTACCTTACTATAGCCTCCGGGCCTCAGACCCGCCCTGGGCCTGCCTTCTTTTCCCATCCAATCTACCCGGTCTGAAGAGTTCAATACGAACGAAACTAATTCACCGCTTTTTGCCCGAAATCCCGGCAGAAGTATAGACACGTCTACCTCGCACCATACCTAAATCTTACTTTAGGTTAATCCTGAATTGAGCCTCAATACCGAACTACGGTATTCGAATACTCATGAACCTCACCACAAGACCACATTCTGGCAATATAATCTAGTAACCTCGGCGACCCCGCCTAATACTCACCCCGCTAAATCATATTTACGGGGACTATTAACACCGAACCCCGGTGCCTGGCATATTCATGAACCCCGCCAAAATATCAAACCCCGGTATACCAACCCGGCCAAATTATACCAAACACCTGTATAATCAACCCCGCCAAAATTTACCAAACCCCGGTAAACTGACCCCGCCAAATTTTACAAAACCCTGGTAAACTGACCCCGCCAATTCTCGGAATAGTATAAATAGACCTCCGCCTTTGGAGTCTAACCAGTCTGAAGAGTTCAATACGAACGAAACTAGTAACTTAAAAAACCAGGGATAACTAGAAGATCGCCCTTTTCTTTCTAATGTTATTTGTGATTTAAAGAAAAATATTACTCGAGATGTGATTAACTGATTTTTGATGTATTTGTCAATGTGGGAATTACTATTTTTAATGGATAATAGTACCATGACCCTGGTAAGACAAGCAGCTACGGGTGCACATTTTTTTTTTTTTTAAAATAATGTGTTCACCTTTTATTTTAACCTGCTAAACCCAACCGGGGGAAAAATCAATAACAAAAATGACGGTGATTGATAACGCCTCTCGGTAATACATTTTATTAAAATCTAAATTAAATCTTCCTCCAATGATGTCCAAATTTACGTTTGTCTTTTTAAGGCAGAAAACAAATATTTAGTATTTTGGGGTAAAGACATGAACCATTTCTGACATTGTGCCAAGAATTGTGAAGGAAATGTGGATAAAATGAAAAGTATGGAGATTTCTGTCACCATCTGAAAATATCGTTGACGGGTTTGCTTCAGTAAAGAACAATGTTACGGCTTGTGTACCAAAATTGATTATTATAATGAATGAATGTAACTGATTATAACCCTTTCGCTGACAATTTTTCAGTGCGATCAGAAGCCTTGTCTACATTACAAAACTTTAAGCGTGTCAAAACAGGATGTTTAATTTTTTGATCGTGGAAATGTATCAAACATAAGCGTTCCGTACTGAGAACTGCTCCAATTTGGAACACTGAAGATAAATTTTGTAAATAGGTCACTTCATGTAACTGAAGATCGAAATGATAAAATTTTGTAAAGCCCGACCATTTATCAATAAACTCCTTAGTAATTTCCCTAAAATGTTTGGCCCTAACCCGACTTTATCTATTGATGAACCGATGATCAAATACGACTGTCTAAAGTGGAAACAATATATGCCCCAGAAACCTACAAAGTGGGGAAAAAACCCTGATGCCTATGCAACGCCATTACTGGCTACTGTCTGCAATTTGAAGTTTATACTGGATGAACAAATGACGATAACCCTATCCTAACAACAGACTTGCCTACCTAGTTGTCATGGACCTGATGATTTCATTTTATCAAACCCCCAATAGAACTGTGATAGCTTTTTTTTTTTTTTTTTTTACCTCTCTTGACCTTGTGCGTGATTTGATGAGTGATAGGGCAAGTGTGATGAAATCATTTGACAAAAGTTTCAACGTGAAGGAGCAGCAATCGTTACAGAATTTCTGCATTACTTACAATGCTCATTTGGAAATTAAACTGCTTGTCTAAAAAATAATTGCCTCTCAGAGAAATTGAACAGTAAACTAAATGGTCACCATTAAACTAAGACATAGTAGAAACTAAACCATGTTTTACCATCAAGTTACCAGTAAGTAACGTCTTTCATCAACAAGCGAACTCTTTATCTATTTAGTGTTTAACCAACCAGTAAAATAATTTACGAACAAAATCATTTATCGAATCAGTAAATTTTGTTTACCAATAAGTAAAGTGTTTTACTAAGAAGTGTTTTACTTATCAGTACAATTCAACATGTGAACTGTTTACTCAATGTCTAATTTTAACTCAATATATGAGCTCTTTTGCCAACAAATGAACTGTTTCAACCAATTAATGTAATAAATTGTTACTTCTTAAATAAATTCTTTGAGGAATCATATTACAGATAAATTTACCCAAAACGAAAAATTCAAATTTTCAAAGCAGTGCTAGTTTTACCCAGAAATAAAATATGTTTATACTTCTGTTACATCAACAAAACAGCATTAAATTCATCAAACTACAGTATTACCTATAGTATAGATAACAAAATACAAACCAAATGATAAATTACCATTGCCTCTTGGAAATATTGTTTTAAACAAATTCCTAAAATAATAACATGTCTTTTGCAAGGCAATAATAAAAGCTTGAGATGCAATTATCACTTTCGAAAAGGAAATAAATGCATTAGGGATTTCTTTGAAATATAATTTCATTTTCAAAATGACAATAACTAATAAGAATCCAACAATACTATAAGTTTACGTATGTTTATAATAAATTGACAAGCTCTTGGAAGCAATTGCCAAAAGTGATAATGTCTCTTTGATTTTAGAATCGAAGAATTTCTTTATACAATTTGATTTATTTTCAAATCTGAAAAAGATTTTAAAGTATTATTCATCTTTATCCAGAAGTCACCATAAAAAAGTATGAAATCAGGTAATTATTTTATTTATGCTAATTCCTGCATAATACTGCTTATCAGCATGTTTTATCGAGATCTTTTCAAAATAAGTTTGTGACAAATTTGACTGATTATCCCATTTTATAAACAAATTCTTCACATGGACAGTATATTAAATAATATATTTTACAATATCTACTTAAAGATTAAGCCCCACATTATTGACTGCTGATTAAGGCTAAACGGGGATCAACTTCGAAGAAGTAACTAAACTTTTAATCACTGATTATCCCAAATCAGGAATCAAGAATATGGTGGTAATGCAATATTCCATCATATCAATGTTCTAAGCCTAAATAAGGTTATTTTGTACATGTAAATATAAACTCTGTATCTTCAAATAATTTAACATAAATTTTTGAAGACTTATTTCTTTAAAAAAAATTTTGTCAAATTGAATTCATTATAAATTTGAGTTTTCTCAACAAGACATGGCATTTTCATAATTTTTTTTTTTTTTTTTTTTACAGGCATTTGGAACTTTGAAATGACGAGAGATTGTCGACATTCATATATGTGAGATCAAATATGTACATGGAATGGGATGAATAAACTGGTGCTCAAAACATTAACAAAACATTTCAAAGTGTATGCCATGCTTCACTTACTTTTAAACCAGTCCTCTTGTTCTTCTGTAACATACTTGTCTTAAAAGTTTTTTTTGTTTTGTTTTTTTTTAACTTTAGAGAAGACTTTCACACACTTAAAGTTCCCCCTTTTTAAGCAACACAATACACAATTCACTGTCGAACAGCACAAACATTTATCTCACTTGACTTTGATTTATATCAGCTTTCAAAAAGTTTAAATGAAATCATACAGGTACTTAATCACTTCAAAATTCACTGTTCTGTAAAATAGAAACAATCAAACGTTACCATCTATATTCTTTACTTCCATTTAAGCACAGACAGACAGATGAAAACAGCAAGCATGTTGCATGGTCATTGTGCTCTATCACTAAATGCCTCACAAGGATTATAATTGTAAGATGGTTTTATAAAAGCTTACCTCGAGACAGAACGAATAAAATCTAATGAAACCAAACATTTATATTTTGGCATTTCTATCTGATCATCACCAGCTGTTTGTCCCAATAGATGCAAACTAACTAATGACGTAATCTGAAATAAACAAATACAAACAATTAGTTTTCTTGCTAGACAGTATACAATCTTCATGTATATGGTCAACATTTAACTTTCATATCATTTTTAACTTTTTACATACTTTATCATAATTTTTTTATCTTTTGTAAATAAATGGAATTTACTGTCCTGGTTGAAAAAACAGAATGATTGATGCTGCACAAAAGGAAGTGGTATCGAAACTATGCAAGAGACGGTGCACTGAGAGATGTAAATGCATTGGTGCAGTTGGCTTATGTTTTGCTTTGTTTTATACTTTTTAGGTGTATAGATGCTTTGAAACGAAAATGTAGCCGATGTTTGAAATAGATGCCACCCTCATTGTGCCAAATTTTAGGCTTTTACCATTTGGAATAATTACAGGTTTATAAACATGCAATATTTTGAAGAAGGTAGGCTACTCTCATCTTTATCATTGCATGTTTATAACTAAGTGATAGGATTTACAATACTGCACTTCCAGTACTGAGTCAAACATTGTTTAATTAAATTACCTGAGAGAATATATTAGCTGTAGGAGCTACTCGACCTTCTACTATAGAATAAAATATTGCTAATAGTCGATCTAGTGGGAAGGGTTTCGGTCCTAATAGATGATTACTGGCCTAGAATTAAACAATACATAGAATATAAATTCAGGAATTATTTTGAACTTGGTAGATGCATATAAATATTGACATTATAGCTCCTTGAAGAAAACAGGAGAAAAGTGATTAGTAAACACTGTAAACCGGGTATCATTTAATCATGTGTATCTAGCACTAATTTCTTTCACATTCATTTAATATCCAATCTTTGTTTAAAAATTTGTAAAAAGTGTTTAAAATCACCATAAATTGTTTAATTTGTACTTCTGTCCAGTTTAAAGCTGACCATTCTATTTTGATAATGAGTGTCCAATTTACAAGTGTTTAATTTCTCCATCAGTGTTAAAAAATAAACCCAATTGATTAATGATGTATTATGATTAATTTTTGAACAGTGGTTGGGAAATTAAATACTTGTAAATTGGACACTCATTATCCAAATTAATCAGTCAGCTTTAAACTGGATGGTTTTGGTCAGTCTAAGAAGCTCTAGTAACGGACAGTCCAAATGGTAAAGGGTTAAATATGGCTGGATCATAAAGAGAAACTGTATTAAAATTACAAATATTTTGATTGTAAATCGATAGAGATGTCTCCCGATAAATTTCAAATTTCCATATATCAGGGGATCATGGAAGCTCCATATCATGATTATTTTTGGCTAATTAACATTTTAAATACATACCCTTTCTTTTTTTTTAACCAGGTGAGCCCTTTTTGTCATTTTTGCAGAGCGCTGAAAATAGATATATGTAAAACTGTAAATAATATTTCAGAGTATCAATTTTTATCTAAACTATATTTAACTAATGAAATATAAACAATTTTTATTTAACAAATTGTACAAAGTAAAATATTCTTCAATCGTTTTTAATCAACAAATCTGAAATCTTCTAAATTAGTAAGTAATTGACAATATTTCATTTAATAAGTAGATTGTTTGGTTATTTCAACAGTTATACCATAAAGGCTATGGCGCAATTGTATATTGTACATAATGCATTTTTCTTAGTGATTCCTGGATCAATTTAAAGATTACACAATTCAAATTCTATGTAAAGGTTATACCTTTTTAAAGAACCTTGCATCTGATTTAACTGGATTATACGAAGCTAGGTAGCCTGCGATCAGTAAGTATTTTGAATAAAACGGTAACTCCACATGGCTTCTACTCAACATCACTGCAAAAATAAAGATAGGTTGACAGGCAACAAAACATCCATATGCATGCTAAATCATCTGAGCAATCCATAAAGATGGTCACACTTGTGAATTTGTTAGGTATATAAAAAGCAACCCTTTAGACCGTATTATATCAATCTTGCACTGACAATATTAAAAGATATAATCAAGAGCAATAACTCTTCACAAGATTTTACAAAGTGCACAAAGGCTATAACTCTAGAATTAAATAATTACTTTTTATGTTGTCAACAAATACTGCATATTTACCATCATTTCAGATACATATTAACCCTATTTCACAATAAATTTCTGAAATTTAAAGGGAGATAAAAACCTACCAGTTTTAGTTTGTGAATCTCCTGTATTTTCACTTGACTGTTCTTTCTGTAGTCTCTCCCACTGAGCACTAGAAATAAATTACACAAAAAAATCTACAAAAAGATCAAAATTGCTAAACACTAAGGAAGTTTCGGGCACATTAACAGTAAGGACATATTACATAGAAATCTAAATGAAAGTACGAAATATTACACAGAAAAATCCCCTAATAGGCAATATTACACCAAGAAACATTTCTAAGATAATCAGTGAGTACAGAATATTACCTAGAAACTTCTCTGAGATAAACAGTCTGTAAAGCCTTTCTTAAGTGAGGTTCAATATTTCTCCAAAGCTTACGAGAATCATTTATTGTAGCTGGAAAACAATTATAGAAATCCAATTTAACAAGCTATTTGCATGACATCTTAAACAAATCCTATTTCATACATGGTTCACATTTAAACATATAATTCAGGATTGACATCCTTTACAAATTATGTAAGTTTGTCATTAAATGTCTACTAAATTAGAAAAATCGATAACAAAGTAACAACACTAATGAACTACAGTACCTTCTCCATTTCGGATTGGTTCAATATATTTATCAAAATTCAACATTGTCTGAAATAAAATATAATACTGTTAACAAAATGGATACTATCAAGTTGAATAGCTTAAAACATTGAGAAATTCTGGAAAAAGATTTAGGCAAAAGATCATCACCAATAAATAACCATTCTATACATGCATGCACAAATAACATATGGTGGCAGTCTTCTATCTGATATTAGGCTATGAAAATCATAATCTTTCAGAATTAAAAAGAGCATTTATCTGATATCAAACACAACATACCAAATGTCTTAATTCTTTCAGATCTCGACACACAATATGAAATATAGAGAGAACAAGATTTGTGTAATTTGAATAGAAATCAACTTCAAAATCTGTTGGACAATCTAAACTCATTATCTCTACCATATTATCTGAAATGAGAAAAACAAAACAAATAACCAATTTGAAACTAAGTCTGAAAAGATAGCAATCCAATTTTAATCATTTTTTTTTTTCAAAATTAATATACAGAATTAAGCAAATGTACTTTAAATAAATTGATTGAGATTCTTTTTTGTTGAATTGTTTCAGTCAGATTTTGCAATCTTTTCATTTTTTCAATATTAAATAATTTGATTCCTGCTTTAATTCAAGGTCAATTGTCATGATATTCTGGAATATAAATGACGAAGCAAAGCGGTCTGTATGACACCCACCTTTTGTATAATCGGGGAAATGTAGAATATAAGGATCACAATAACCAGTTCCTGTTCTATACTTCTCCCATACTATTTCACTAATCAACATGACACACATGTTAAGATTTGTCTGAAATTTAAACAAAATTCATAACATTTATTACCAACATGTGTTTTTACCATCAAATCAACCTTAGCGTCATGTAAATGTAAATTTCTACTGAGATACAGAAAGTATATGGTCTGCAGACTAGTTGAGCAATTTTCCATTTCAGTCATAATTACCATAACTTGACTTTGTGCAACAAATACTTACCAATTCTTGCAGTCTAAGAAATGCTGGTAAAATATTAGCATCCATTTCTCTCAATCTTTCAGCCTTATCTAAAACCTGCAAAAATACCAAAAACACTATGGAAACAAAAACGGGCTTAACATCTCATCGTTTTGCACCAACCGGGCTTGATGAAGACAATTAAGATTATGCAAAATACCAGTCAGTAAGATTGTTTAAACTACTACGAAATAAACTGGATTATTTTATCATCCCTGAGTACCATATACATAGATATATATCGAAGTACTTTTCAGTGGAAAAGTAAAGCATATAAATTTCATTTCAAAATGATATCCCAAAACGGGTCAAAAAAGTTGATGTATGCATTTCAGTTTCTGTCCTGTTAAAATATTATATAATTTTCTAATAAAGAGAGAGAGAGAGCGAGAGAGAAAGAGAGAGAGAGAGGGGGGTAAACTCCACTCCACACAAGCTAGGTCATTTTAGGACTAACACATGGTTCAATTTTATTTCAACAATTCGCTTGCGTGTAGGGGTCTTTAGCCGTGGGAGGAAACCAGAGGACCTGGAGAAAACCAATGAGGTTGGACAGACGACCCTACTCCTTGTCATGTACAACTGGAGAATCGAAACCATGCCAGTTGACTCAATGACAGACCTTATGATACAGCACGCACAAGCTAATCATTTGGCCATCCAATAGCCCCCCACCCCCCAATTTTCTCATTCAGCTGTAACAGAAATTATAATAATGCCAACTTACTATATAAACTGTTTCATTAATCAGGCATCCATCTTTTACTATCTGTTGAAACTGACGAACAAAATCATTCATATTATCACATCTGTAGTGATCTGAACTCTTTACAGATTGAGGTAGATTATTCAAGATATGTTCATAGAGGAATCGGGCATTATAGCATTCAACACAATTCACTAAAACATGAGGTAACTGAAACAAAGATAAGTGTAATAATTCAGTATAGTACTTATATACACCTCAAAGAGTATTGTTTAAAAAAACTAATCCTCTGATTCGGCGAATTATTATTTCAATTATTAACAAGAATAAATCTAAATTTGTCATCGAAAATGGTAAGCGCAAGTAAGTGAAGTACATGTAATCTACTTAAATAGTTCCCTTTTTGTTTCAAATGTTGACAGTGGAATGCAAAAGCAGTTATATCTCAACATTTGCTCTATGTGGACCTTGAAGTAAATAGATATATTCACATTGCAAAGCAGATCAACACCAGCTAACTGAAACTGACTAGACATTAAGTAGCAGTTTATACTTACTTGTAATGTTTTAAATATAGTATTAACGACACAGGTTTTTCCTGTACTTGTATGACCATACACAAATACACATGGTGGAGACATCTGACTTTTCTATAATATCAAGACAGTTTACACAGATTAATCATAGATTTACTCCAATTGATAATAATTCAAAGAAAAAGATAGGTTGCCAGGCAATGAAACATACGGCCACAGCGGCTAAATCGTCCGAGCGGTTGACAAGGGTTGTCGCATATTTATTCCTTTGTCGGTAATTGGGGGCCTTTACAAGACAGTTCCATACAGATCAGATTATAATTTTTGCCGTTTGAGGGTTCACAAGGTTCTACAAATTGAACCAAGGGTATCAACTCTGGAAGTAATCTACAGAAATTGTTGAAATTTGACAGGCTTTTTCGTTCCACAAATTTAAATGATGCATATAAATTTCATACATATCGGATGATAACTTTCATCAATCGAGCATTAACAAGGTTGAACAAAGTTAAACAAGGGCAATAACTCTAGAAGTAATAAACGGAAATTGCTGAAATTCAATAACCTTTTTTGTTTCACTTATTTAAATAATGCATATAAATTTCAGAAAGATCAGATGATAACTTTTGATGTTAGAGCACTCACAAAGTTCAATAAAGTGAAACAAGGGCCATAACTCTAGACGTAATAAACAGAAATTGCGGAAATTCAATAAGCTTCTTTGTTTCATTTATTTAAATAATGCATATAATTTTCAGAAAGATCGGATGATAATTTTTGGTGTTAGAGCGTTCACAAGGTTCAATAAAGTGAAACAAGGGCCATAACTCTAGACGTAATACACAGAAATTGCTGAAATTCAATAGTCTTCTTCATTTCACTAATTTAAATAATGCATATAAATTTCAGAAAGATAGGATGATAATTTTTGGGGTTAGAGCGTTCACAAGGTTAAACAAAGTGAAACAAGGGCCATAACTCTAAAATAAACGGAAATTGCTGAAATTCGATAGGCTTCTTCGTTTCCCCAATTTAAATATTGCATATAAATTTCACAAAGATCGGATTTTAGCTTTTGGCAGAGCATTCACAAGGTTCAACAAAGTCAAACAAGGGCCATAACTCTAGTCGTTATAAACGGAAATTATTGAAATTAAATAGGCTTCTTCGTTTCACTAATTTAAATAGTGCATATAAATTTCAGAAAGATAGGATAACTTTTGGGGTTAGAGTGTTCACAAGATTCAACAAAGTGAAACAAGGGCCATAACTCTAGAAGTAATAAACGGAAATTGCTGAAATTCAATAGGCTTCTTCGTTTCCCTAATTTAAATATCGCATATAAATTTCACAAAGATCGCATATTAACTTTTGGCATTAGAACGTTCACAAGATTCAACAATTGCAACTTGTGAACTGTATTAGTGAAATTAGAAAATGGATGTCAAAGAACTTTCTAAAATTGAATGATGATAAAACCGAATATTTGTTATTAGGCTCAAGGCATCAATTAAGTAAATCTGCACAAGATAACCCCCCTGTTGTAATTGGTAATTGTGATATATTTTCATCTTATTCTGCTCGTAATATTGGTGCTATCTTTGATAGTTTTATGCTTATGGGAGCTCAAGTAAATAATATTTGTAAATTGTGCTATTTTAATATTAGAAATATAGGTAAAATACGTAAATGTGTAACTGTAGAGGCCACTAAGTCACTTGTTAATTCTCTGGTCACTTCTCGATTAGATAACTTTAATTCACTTTTAGTTGGTTTACCTTTAAAGCTTATAGATAAATTACAAAAAGTACAGACTTGTTACTTTAACTAAGAAATGTGACCACATAACTCCTGTTTTATATAATTTACACTGGTTACCTGTTAAATATCGAATTGATTTTAAGATTTTATTACTTACTTTACTTAAATAATTTAGCTCCTGTTTACCTCTCAGATCTTTTAGAACTTTATACACCTGGCCGAACATTACGTACATCAGATAAACTACTTTTAAAGTCCAAAACTGTTCAACTAGTCTTCTATGGTCAGCGCTCTTTTAGTTATCAAGCACCTGTTTTATGGAATAATCTACCATTTAGTTTAAGATGTTGTACATGTCTGTATTCTTTTAAAAAACAACTTAAAACACATTTATTTAATCAGGCTTTTAACTGACTCTGTATACAATCGTTAACATGCCCATAATCTTGTTGTTTATGTGTGATTTACATCGAAATTAAAAAAACTGGTCCCAACATTTTGTGCGCCTTTAAAGGGCGCACAATTTCAGTTATACCAGATTTGAAAAAAATAATATTTGCTTTCGAAAAATGGTACCTAACTGTCAAAATTGTAGTTTTTTGTCAATTTACGCCACTTCCGCCGACAGATAACACTATTGGTAACAAAAAAAATGACAATTGAGACAACGGAGCATATGAACTTTGTTTTATACAAATCGAACAATAAATAATCTAGGACTGAAAAACTGAATTAGCCAATGGGGGCTAAGGAAAATTACTGAGACAAAATTTTTTCACATTTTTGCCCAAGTCAGAGGACTCGTTATATTTGTTTAAAACACGACTAAAAAATATTCATAAATAAAAAAGTCTTTTGTAAAAATTTAAATTTTTCTAAATTTAGCGCCTAATATCTGCGAAGATTTGCCGAAAATCAAAAATCAAAAGTAGCGTAGCTTGGCTATGTGCCCCGTCTCCGGCTATGCCAAAATGCATCGAAAGTTAAAATCCAATGATTATTGTTAAAATTACTGCAATATTTCTAAAAACGATAGCTTCGGTGATTTCGGACATTTCGCATTGTCGCAGAACGTTCAAAATAGCTTTATCCTCTAAGTCACACCCACTTTTCCGATAAAACCGAAGAAATCGTAACGATCCGACAATCAGTTGCTGAGATCTACTCAAAACAAAAGAAGAATAATAATAATAAGAATAATAATTTTAACAAAAACAATAGTGTTTCACACAAGCTACGCAGTGTGAAACCCTAATAATTTTAACAAAAACAATAGTGTTTCACACAAGCTACGCAGTGTGAAACCCTAATAATTTTAACAAAAACAATAGTGTTTCACACAAGCTACGCAGTGTGAAACCCTAATAATTTTAACAAAAACAATAGTGTTTCACACAAGCTACGCAGTGTGAAACCCTAATAATAATTTTAACAAAAACAATAGTGTTTCACACAAGCTACGCAGTGTGAAACCCTAATAATAATAATAATAATAACAAAGTGAAACAAAGGCCATAACTCTAGATGTAATAAACAGAAATTATTGAAATTAAATAGGCTTCTTCATCTCACTAATGCAAACATATATCAATTTTAAAACAACTGGATGATAACTTTTGGCGTTGACCGACAGACGGAGGCGACAGCAATATACGTCCACATTTCTATGTGGGCGTATAAAAAATGGAGTTTACTTCCACACTATCAGAAGATGTTGGTAGATGCAGTTATATTTGATTTGTATGTACATTATTTCATTATCATTTTAGAAAATAAATTGTTATCTGAAATTAATCTTAAAAAAACTTCATTCCATGAACACTGGCCATGACTTTAAATGCACCAAGATGCGGTCAAAATTTAATTTTTTATGTGCTGGTCATTGTTTATTTGGAATCTTTTTTAAAATATTTGTTTCGGAATTTACTGCATTGATTGAAGTTTACCAAGCATCTAGAATTGAGTTCAAAAGATATTAGAGACTTAATTCATATGAATATCCAAGTAAGTCAATGCAGTAATAGATTAATAATGATCACCAGTTTGTTGAATAGCCACCCCATCACAAAATTATTTCCGAAAATCATATCAAAAGCCATCAAGGCTGTATTTAGTATTTAAAAATTTTATACTTTACCTCACCAATCAGAGATATTAAACTTTTAACCTCTTTCTCTCGACATGGAAGACTTTGATTTAAGGTGGTCCAGAGGTCTGAAGAATAACCCCATGTATAACTCATTTCACAATCTTCCATATTCTATAACATACAAACAAATTGACATAATTGTTACTGTCTGTGAGTAGGCTACATGTACTTGGCCATATCTGATTTATTTTAATTGTAAGAATCTTGATACTACTCTAATTAGTCTTATCAGGTTGGGTCAAGAATGTGACTATGAATGATAAAATCTGAACACTCAACAAAGAACAATACACTCCAAGAAAGACAGTGCCATATAGACATAGAAACCAAGAGTATGACAGGGGATTTGTGTCGAGTGGACGTTAAACCCCATTTCTCTCTCTCTCTCATATTACCGAAAAAATTAAAAATTAAAAATATGCGACAACTCTTGTTGACTGCCCGCACGATTTAGCTGCTGTGAGCGTATGTTTCGTTGCCTGGCAACCTATCTTTTTTCTACATAAAGAAAGAAAAGTAAAATATTTCGGCTTCCACATATAACTACGAAGAATTTTACTCTGAAGTCACCAGGGTTTTGTGTGAACGTGTGTGACAGTCCATGAGCAATGTGGACATAGAAAGTTGCCACAACAACCATCCTGCCCTTCACGAGAAGTATACATAATACAAAATATAATAGCTCAACAAATAAAAGGAGAAGAATAAACAATGGCCCATGGATGGGCATTACATAATTTATAAACAGGATAATGCAAAAGATGACAGCACCAAAAAGAGACAGTCATAAAGCTTAGATCTCGCGTGATTAAAAATAGGTACCGTGTGAACTAATATGCATACTGGCTAATTTCATTACTTGTTCTGTACACAAGACATATGTCGAAGGGTACAATACATAGGGCGAGTGTCAAACGAGAAGAGAAGATGTCAGAGTTCAGTGATTAAAGTTTTGGGTAGATGGACTTCGGCTTGTTGTGAAAAGTCTAATGTGAAATGTTTAATGACAAAAAGTAGTTGTCAATTTACAGGATGTGTGTCAGTATTACTGGATCCACCCCTGAATGGGCTTTACATTCTACAGTTCTGCTCTGTCTGACGGGGCTATGGGAGACGGGAATACGCCATACACTACAGTGTGCTATGGCCTACTCTTATATCAAATTCCAACTGTCATGGGATCTTTTACATACACGTCAATGTGTACACAGGACCTTGGTTTCCGTACCATCCAGACAGGACTGAGTGAATAAAATAATTTCACATTCGGTACTTATAGAAATCTATAACTTTATTTTATTATCAATGTAGGCCTGTTTGTATTTTCCAATTTACCATACTGCCATACTCAATATTGAATATGACTCAATGCACTTGTGGTACAATGATTTTTTTTTTTAATATATATACAGCATTAGCTGATTAACATCTGGATTAAACACTTTGTAAATTCTTTTCTTCCACATGAATGAGTGATCTAAATTAGTATATAGACATAGATCTAGTTATTTTCCTTGCAGCTCAATCCACCCATCATTAGCATTAGTATTAGGGCATCATTCCATGCACAAACTAATATATATTACTAACTAATAAACACTTCCTGTTAGTTTGCACAAAGACAAAGCAGGTAATTCTAAACACGTTAATTAGAGCACTGACAATCAGTATTAAACTATTATTAGTAATAATTAGTTCAATATAGTATTTGCTAAACCAACCAACCATACAGTTCAGATCTGCATACAAAACTGATCACGTGTCAATAACAATAATAATGGACTCTACACTTTCCCGCCTTTTCTGACCCGACAGGAAGTGAACAAAACTTATTTATAGCCTGGCAATTTGATTGGTCCAGTTTTCAGGGTACACACCACTGTTCATAAAATCATCAAGCTTTACTTTTCAATTTTATAACAATTCCTTCAGAGGAGCTTATATAACTTGTATTATACAAATTCAGTTGCTTGTAAATTCATAAATAATTATTCTATCTTTAGAAACTATCACCTAGATCTAAAGATAGATATTTTGTTTATTTGAAAGTATGTAAAATAAATGTTGGGTTTTTATGTTTGATCATGATCGAGCAATGGGGATCATGGCTTGTTTAAAAATAATCTTTAATATTTAAAAAATTAATTATATTCTTGTTTTAATAAAATTTTACAGATCTTATATATATATATATATATATATATAATGTTACGTACATATTGAATTCCCACATGTATGCTAGAATAAAATGTTTTCTATATATCTTCAATTATAAATAAAATGTTTTCTATATATCTTCAATTATAAGCTTACCGTATATATAATCATGGAGTTTTATATTTCATGCACCATATGGCCAAATGACAATGTTAGCTATATGACACAATTTAAGTGCAATTTGTATGTCAGTATTGATAGATTTATTTGGCATAAACAAATAGAACATAGAAAATGACAATTATTTATGGTACCAAAAATTTATTAAGCCGGTATAACTAATATTTGCCGCGCACCCCCGCCCGCTCCCCCACCGGCCCTGGTCAGTGTGAATTATTTGCCAACATTAACCAGCATAGAAATCCTAGCAGTTTAAGATATAAGATATTAAAATTTTTTAAATCTCAATTGATAGTCCTTGTTTATCCATTATGTCTTAATTGAATGTAAATATACAGTTCTATATGGTGGTATACTGCATACCTGGTCATTTGAAAGGGATTAAAAAGCCAAATCCAAATGAGGGTACAACAAAGAGCCCATGACAGGACCCAGATTTGAAGAGTGATATTTCCATGCAGGTATAGGATGACTGATTAGTCCATCAACCATATAAAATATAAGGGTGGTTAGGTGACCATGTGGTTTAACGTATGCGCATTAGATCATAAGGTCTGTCATGAGTCAAGTGGCATGGTTTTGTGTTCCTGCTTGAACGTGAATATGAGTACGGTCAGCTGTCCAACCTCAAGGGTTTTCTCCTGTTTCCTCCCACAGCCAAGCAAATTATTGAAATAAAATTGAACCAATGTTAGTCTCGAAATGACCTAGTTTGTGTTGAGTGGACATTAAACACCATTTCTCTCTCTCATAAAGTAATAAAAGCTGACGTTTTTTATAGCCCCATTTAATACTATAAAGGTCCCTAACATGAAAGCTCTGTAATATTAGCAACACTAGCAGAAGCTATATATAAACAACAGAATTAATACTCTAAACAATGAAAACTTACATTCCTAATACTGTTAAGCAGGTATTATTACAAACACACACCTACGTTCATACACATTAACAAGAATGTTAACACATTAAACCTTTGGGACTTTGCAAATAGAATGACCATAGCCATTTAGACAAGTATATTTTGCAATTTAAAAAAAAGAAAAAAAAATATTTACTATTTAGTAGTGTATTAATTAGGTTTTCACACTGCGTAGCTTGTGTGAAACACTATTGTTTTTGTTAAAATTATTCTTATTATTATTCTTCTTATTATTATTTTTTTTTTTTTCCAATTTGCTTATATCTCAGCAACTTCTTGTCGGATCGATACAATGTCTTCAGTTTTACTGGGAAAGTGGGTGTGACTTAGAGATTAAAGCTATTCCCGGCATTCTGCGACATTGCGAAATGTCCGAAATCACCGAAAATGTCGTTTTTTGAAATATTGCCGTAATATTAACAATAATCATTGGATTTTAGCATATGATGCATTTTGACATAGCCAGAAACTGGGGACATAGCTATGTTACTTTTGATTTTTGATTTTCGACAAATCTTGGAAGATATTAGGCGCCAAATTTTGAAAATTTAAATTTTTACAAAAAACTTTTTTATTTATGAATATTTTTGTCACGATTTGGCACCTGACCAATTGCCACTCGTGCAAACTACCCCCCCAGCTGCGTCTTCAAAATCATAAAGAAAACGAAATGGCATTAATAGTATAATTTAATACTTTATATATTTATATCAGATCAGTAAAACAATCAATTTTCAGAGTTCAGTATGTCCATAGGTCACTTCCGGTGGGAATCAAACCATCAATTCACAAAAACATTATTCGTCCAACGAAAACATTAAACATAGGCCTGCAATACCTATTCTGATTTAAGTTATTCGTAAAACATTTAAACACCGCACAGTTCTCCACAACACAGTTGAGATAATTATAGGCCTGTGGATCCTATTCTGGGATCATCTCAAATGTTCTGTTCACGATATCAGCTACGGCTAAACTTGGCCCCAACGCCGCTCCATATCAAACGTTGCCCAACAATAATCTACACACATAAAAGTTTCACCTACTGGGCGTAATCAAACGTGGCCCAGTTCCAATGTACCTCTGATTTAATTAAACATGGTCCGATATTCACTACAGTTATGTATTCAAAGAAGAAAGGTTAAATTGGCCCCCTCCTACATAATCGATCCGATTCGGCCTGAACGAACCTTACTAAAAGACTGACTGACTGACTGACTGACTCTGATGTGCCATCCACATCTGCTTATATAGCCATATTGTGCACATGCTGCATGCCTCAGATGCAGTTGACAATCAAGATGAGTTTGGGGGATACAGCTTAGACAATTAAAATTGAGTTTGGGGGATCAAACTCAGACAAATAGGATGTGAACATAAATATTTATAAATTCGGATGTAAAAGAAAAAATATGATATTTGATTGTGACAATTTTTATATGACATTTTAACCAAGGTTAAAGAGTCATCTGATTTGAACAAAAATGTCAACATTTTTTGTTTCCGTAATTTTCCTTGGCCGCCATTGGCTAATTCAGTTTTTCAGTCCTACATTAATTATTTATTGTTCGATTTGTATAAAACCTAGTTCATATGTTCCGTGGTTCAAAATGTCATTTTTTTTGTTACCGGTAAAGTTTCCTGTCGGAACCGGAAGACGCGTAAATTTAGCAAAAACTACAATATTGACAGTTCGGTACCACTTTTTGAAATGAAATATTATTTTTTACAAATCTGATATTATCCAAAAGATGCGCACTGTTAAGGTGCACAAAATCTCGGACTCAGTTTTTTTAATTTCGATTTCGTTTTCGGGCCATTTCGATTAAAAGGTAAAAAAAGGGGTACAAAT